TTTGTTCCATTGAGATGCTCAGGTAAAAGTCTGGGCTTCTCTATGTCTGGTTTTGAGTTACTTATGTATTTTCTGTATTTACATTTTTCAGGAAATGAATAGTGGGTGTGAGTTGTAATGTTTTTTAGATTAGAGTTGCACCACAATTGAGTGGATTTAAAGACAGAAATGTAGAAAGTTGTAATAAATACTATTGGCTGAATGTTGTAAGTAAAATAATATCTCCATTAAAATCAGTGACAAAATTTCCCTTAACTTTTATAGGTTCAAAATGTTATTGTGTGTGTCCATAACACCTTCAAAATTAGTTCTTGACTTCACTTTTTATGCTTTTTTAAATATTATGGGGTTTGTGGTGTAAACTTCTCATTTGGTTGTTTTATTTCTTGCTGTGGCTTTTGTCTCATCACAGTTGCAAAAGAAGAGCATAGACAATAGCCACTATTTAACCTTTTAAGATTTTCTTAAGAATTTTTTCAGTAGGAATTCAGACTCTGTGGACATTTAATTACTGATTTTGACCCTGAACTGCCACAGTTTTCTGTGACATTCACCATATCAGACTTCTTTCTTGAAACAACTGTTCATTAGTCTCAGGTTTCATAACCAGCTGATTTGTAAGATCTGGTGAGTGCAAAGGGTAGCTGGAAAGCCCAAGTAGCACTGTGCTGTGCTGATTCAAGGTGGCTAATCCCTTGATTTGCAAACAGGCATCATAATGTCTGGTCTAGGAGGTTTGGTCTATGATAACACGCAGTCTGTAGAAGTGGGGTAGTGATACAGTTTTTATATCCCCAATCCTGGGCTGGAATTGGTGTGGTTTTCATTAGGGCATGTGCTGGGGAAGGAGTAGAGGGCATTAATTTTCCCTTAGCATTTCAAATACACACCCTTTCTAGAAAAGACGAATAAGGCTAGATGTTGAGCTTCTGGGTTTTTGTTAGTCAAAGCTAAGAGAAGATCTTCAACAAGATATTTTAGAAATAATCAATGTTCTTGACGTTCTTTATACAAGGTATTAGTAAGCAAATGTTCAGTCTCATTACAGTCCTCACGTCGGTTCTTACAGATTTCAGGAGGACCAAGATTGAAGTGCCCTCACAACATAAAAGAGTAGAGGGAGTGAACTGTCTTAGTTTTAATGCAGTGATTTGCATGAAGAGTGAAAGCTGTGATTCACAACAAGTTCAGGAGAGGTTTTGTTTGTTTGCATTCTATTTCATGAAATCAGCATATGTGTGTGGTTTCCGTTGGGTTGCTGTGGCAGTAAGTTGTAGTACTGACGCTTAATATAGTTATCAAAACTTAAGATGGAGTTTGAACTCCTGAAATCAAAGGAAACAAATAGTAGCTTGTAATGCAATGGTACGTGTTGCCAAAAGAAGCTGAAAAGACTTTATTCTTTCGTAGTTACACAGTGAAGATGCTCTGAGATCTTTAGATGCAAAAGTTTATTGCTATGGCTAAGTAATTTGCAAAGCATCCCAACACTAGCATGAAACAAAAAGGTAGCTGAAGTAGGTGCTGCATCTTACTCTCTCTGGTGGGACCCCACAGGAGCATACCTGGGCAGACCAAATTGCTGGATCACACCTTTAATTTGAATGCCTGCTGTCAACTACAGCGGTGCTCTGAGATGTTTGAGGGGTCTGAGCAAGGGATCCTTTAAAAAATAAATGGAGAAAAATGTTGACTGCAACAAGAGTCATTTCACAAAAAAACATCTTTCCAAAATTATTTTACCAAAATAGACAAGAACCCCTTGTTCTATTTAGAATGATTTATAACTGTTCCCAGCTGATCACAAAGTGTTTCTAAATTAAAAGCCATTAATTATAGCCTTATATAGATACAAAGATATGCGAGAAGTGCTTTGTAATTCCAGCTCTGCACTTCAGGTGAGAGCTTTTTAAATTACTTGGACCATTGGAGCCACCTGCTTGACTAAATGCTGAGGGCCCTGTGTTTCAGTACTCATCAGTGCATTGCAGTGTTAACATTGTTACTGATTTTTCTCATTTCTCCAGGGCAAATACTAATTAATGGATACAATTCACAGCTGATTAGCTGTAGTTTCTTCAGTAATTACATTCGCAGACTAACTGTTCAGAAGAGGATTTCTAACCCAGTTCTTATTTCACTCTAAGCTTAATTTGTTTTTTGAATTGTTTAGGTCCTTAAGATAATAACCATTTTATTTTCTTTTGTTGTTATAGGTACCATTAGATAATAAGGAAGTTTAATCTTAGAAATACTCACCAATAATTATTGTGTGCCTTCAATGGATTTCTAATTCACAGACAAAAAATAAATTTAAATAATACTAGTTATGATCCATACTAACAAAAGCCTAAAGATGACAGGTTCTGACATCAGTGCCTGAATCATACACAAAAGGCTCTTAAATATTGTAGATCAAGAACAGGATGAATCTAAGGATATGTACTTGTAACTTTTAGCTTTGACATTCCTCGTTACATTGTTTGCTTCCATAGTCTTGATAAAATGGAAAATTATGTTGTCACTTTCCCCTTTATTTTACTTTAATAAAAGGAAAAGGAAGAAAACCGCTTGGCAATCAGAACAGCAGTAGCTGTGGTGTGAGGAATCCGTGTAGATCAAAACAATGTAGAATTTTACTCTTCAAGGTAAAAATCAGCTACATTTCCATTTTGAGTCACTGGAGCCCCTAGGATGCTAAGCTCATTAAAATAGGCTAGGGTTTGTTCCCACTTATTTATCCAATGTTAGCGCTATACTTGCCTACTGTACCTTTGTACTTAGGTATAATCTGAAAACTTGATCTCTTTTTTTGTTTTGTTATGTGGAAAGAACAGTTCTATTGGATCCATTTGTGTTTTTCATGTAAATCCTTCTTAGTTTGCCACTGACATGAAAAAAAATCTATCCTGTCGATCTCACTGTTGAGGTGAAGTACTATGCTTTTGTGCAACAAATCCACACACAAATACTTATGTGCCAAAACAGTAATTTGAATGTGCAATTTTATTTGAATTTTTTCATCTCCCAAAATGGGTGACATCTGGGCTTTTAAAAAATGGATGACATTACTTGAGTATCTGCATAGCTGGGGATAACAGAGTTTTAATAGCTATGAGGCAGCCTACATATTGTGTTAAGGCCTCTGTTGCTTAACATGTGTTATAGGTTGAAAGATTTAGCATGTTAAGTACACAAGTGGAATTTCATATTTCAGAATGAGGAATATCATCTCATATTCCTTCCTCCCCATGATTGTCTTCTGATTTTGTTGATGTTCTGTTTTGTCAATCAAACAATTCATCAGGTACACAAGGCTCCAATTCTTTGTGTCCATCTTCCTTTTTTCGTCCTCTATCACTATAGTTTCCTCCTCTTCTTTCTTTTCTCTGCCTTTTAACATTTGGTCTTATTTTCAGAAATGGATTTTGGAGTTTTCAGTGAGAAAGCCTTTCTTGAAAGGATCACCCTGGCCCCTCCACTGCTCTGGGATGCTGGAGAAACTGAAGAGAGTCAGGGTCTGAAACACTTCCATGCTAAAAACGGTCAGACACTAAGTACTGCAGTAGCAAATTGAGCTGCAGCAAAGTGTTTTTCCTTTCAGGACAGGTTCAGCTGCTCTGAAAGCACAACAGAGTTTCTTGCTTAGAAAGAACAATGTATGCAAGTGCATGGTTATCCATCCTCATGCACTTGTTGCAGAGCTTATGCTGATGGTGGTGGTGTTTCTGGTTGGGAGGATGGGGAGGGAGGGGAAGGGAGGTCTACTGAGATCTGGCAGGATAAAACAAAGCCTTTCTTTGCTTTACAGAACTCAAAAATGGGAGTTAAAGGAAGAATGCTTAGTGTAGCTTTAGCAGCAGTGGTATGTTAGGGCATTGGACGGACAGCACCGGGACCTTTCTCTCGTTTGACACTCTTACTTTGCAATGTGCACTGTGCCTGATAATAGAAATATGAAAGCCTGTGATTTAGTGTTTTAGTGGTAGCTGCTTCTTGAAGGAGCAGGAGAAGGTATCTGTTCCTTGAAGCAAATACTCCAACATGCCTGCCTGCTCCAGGAACGCATACAGAAACAGTTGCCAGACTACCTGCTTTCTGGAAGTGCTGTTTAAGGAATAAGGTGCACTAAGTGCCAATTAACTAAATGCTGATAATCTCTTTCTTTTCTATGCTCAGTCTGTAAAAGAAAAAAGTACTTATCTTCATCAACAAATGCTCATACTTGAGACTTTGGAGGAAATGACACTGGCATCTGAGAGGATCCTTTCAGATGACTCATGGGTGAGAGGAGTTGCACTTCAGTGGGAGCAAGTGAGCACTCAGCCCACTCCACCCTGGGTAAATCTCAAGGTCTCAGTGTCATACAGTTTCTCTGATTTGCGAAATCTTCGGGTGTTAATATTCACTTGGGACATGGGAGCTCAACTGGGTTGAAAGACAAAGGGGGATTGTTTGACTTTTTAATTTTGTGGAAATAATGGGATTTTAAGAACAACGTTGCAGATTCTCATTCTTCCTCTTACTGACCTTCATCTCTTTAAAACCAGGTCTATTTGGAATAGTAATAAACCAGCTACTTCCAGCTGCAGCTATCCTCTGGATCACGATCATCTGCAGAAATACTATAATGCATGTCAGGAAAGATGTAGTAGAGTTGAAATGTCTTTTCTGGAGAATAGTCTCTTTCTAATGGACATTCAATTTCCAAAGTCACCTCTAGGTCTGTGAGGTGGCTTTGTGACATGGACAAAGAAGGTTGAAAAGTTACTCTTGGATATCTTCCAGGTACAGACCTGGGAATGCAGAGTATGTAATAATAACAATAACATTGAATCCAGTCTGGTTCTGACTTCAAAGAACATCTGCAAAATTACATCTTATCTGTTTGTTGTTTTGCTTTTGTTGTTTTTTTCCAACTTTTTTTTTCTGCCAGAGATGGGGTAAAGAAAAGTTTATCATGGCATACATTAAAATCCAAATATTTATTTTTCTTTCAGTTTGGAAACAATAACAACTACATGAACATGGCAGAGGCAAATAATGCATTTCTTGCTGCAAATGAGGTAGATTTTTTTTCTTTTTTTATCTATGCTCATATTCTGCTGTTTGCTGTGATAATTTAACAGACTTTGAATGAAGAGTGAAGTGCCGAATTTCTGTGTGTTTTATGGAGCACAAAATAAAGACTGTAATGAGAAAGAAAATAACCTGACAGCTCTCCATTACTAGTCAATTTAGCTGTCCATAAGGCTGTTACTTACATAGCATGTCAATAGAAACAAATCTGCTTTATGTATGAAAAAAATTATAAACAGAAGGAAACAAATAAAAAGCACAGTAGGTGTACACTTTGAAAGCAAGCTTAGTAATAGTCATTACTAGCTAATGTGCTAATTTCCGTTATAGATATAAACATTTTAATTTGGGTTCTTAATACTCATGTAAGTTAGAAAACGAAAACCAACTTTGTTGCCTGAAGTGTATGTGATGCCTGAAGGAAGCTTCTGACCAGGATCAAGAACAAACCCAGGGCCCAGGCTGGTGGAGGCTGGCTGGGATGTATTGGTGACATATTTAATCACTGCCTTGGAGAACAGACACAGGAGAAGGGTATGGCAGCCACAGGCTCTATGTATTTGTGACAGTGGTGCTGCCTTACAGCCAGTTAATAGACTATCAATGTGATAATACTGACCCCAGCTCCAGACAGAAGCACCTTTTGCTTGTCAATAAAAAACAACAGCTCTTATTCCAAAGGGAAAGATGCAAAGTTCAAGATGCACTGTCTGGTAACACGCCTAGCAATATGGAGAACAAGAACTAAGTATTTATATAGGGTGCATGCCATAAATGGTCTTCCCAACATGAGGAAAGGTTAGAAAACTGGGCAGCCTTGATTTTATGTATTGTAAGTGGTGATTCAGTCTCAGGTATTCTTGTGTTCTTTTTAAAAAAAGCGATCTCAGAGAAAATAAGTAGAAAGGTGTAACAATAAATATGAAGGTTAGAATTAAGAGTCGTATTTTATGAATCATTTATACAGTGGTCACCATCTCTTTTTACCCAGCAAGACTGCTTAGATAAGGGAATATTGTTTGGCACTAGCTCCAGTGTTATTTGTGATAATGAACACAAACCCCATCTGTAATGACAACATGATGTTTCTTTCTGTAGAATTTCTTTCCTACATTTGAATCAAACATTGATGAAAGCTCTGCTGCCAGCAGCTGTTCAGAGACAATTTAATTCCAGCTGTGATAATTCACCGTGTCAGACATTGGCTGTTATATGTTGATACAACAGTTCTCCAGATTTGCATTTTTATCAAAAGGAACAAATGTTTTGAACATTTCAGTACAGATGGCATTTAACCATGCACACATTTTTTTTTTTTTTTTCAATGTGTAAGATATAAATATTTGAAAAGTTAATAACTTTAAAAAATGTGATTGGTAAGATAAATCCCACAAATGTTATACCATCTTTTGGTCATAACAGCACCTTTCTGCAATCCCAAATTGCATACTATTCAGGCTCTTTTTACAGACTGAATAGCCCAGCGATTTGGATTTAAGACTACTTCACTAAAGGGCTTGCTTTCTTCTTAGGTTACATCTATTTTATCCTCAGTCTTAGGTCTGTTATATGTTTTTTAAAAAAGATATATACATATTTAGACAAGTTATATTGTGGGAATTAAATTCACATTTAAAAAATGTTACAGTATTATTAATTTACTCTCCCATTCGTTTTAAGCTACAAGTATTAAGATGAATGCTACTTTTCTAAGTAAAGTACTGTATTATTATCTAGCTGTGTTATATATTTATACTGGTGTCCTAGAGTTATTCTTCTAGATGGGGAAAAACGATCCAGTTGCTATAATTGCTACTATCTCATAAATATGTCGACAGGTTCAAACATACTATAATAATACTGATTTCACTGAATGCTTTTGCTTGATCAAGGAATAAAAATACGATTGTTAGTGTTCACATTAAAGCATGAAACTAACTTTGCAATTACTGTATTACAATGTATTTAATTATAGTTTTTTTACATTAACATGAATGTAGCTTTCTTGCTATGATTTTGGGCATGAGCACTGCTGAGCTAGAAGCCCATTTTATTCCTGTAAATAACGCCTTAAGAGTGCAATCCTAGAGCACATTGAGGCTTAGAAGCCACACATTTGCTTTATGTTTTCTGTCTCTAAGTCATGATTACTATGACCCATTTTAAAGCACCTTAAATATTTATTGAAATAATATTTCAAGTGTTAATTACAGTGGTAATGAAAACAGCCAAATGCCACATATCAAGAATGAGTGTTTATCCGTATTGTTAATGTGATATGTTAGATTTCATTAAGCAGTAATGGGGTAGCAAATGAGTCACAAATTACAGTTGCATCTGTTACTAGACCACATTAGTGCCAAAATAACTGCAAATGCAGCCATAGGGTTATGTTCATTAGCCAACCACTTCTCCCGGCCAATCCATCCTTTGTGTTTGTGAACTACAGGATCCACAGGAAAAAATTTCACACCTTTTGTAATATAGAGCAGCGGGGAAGTCGAACATCTCCCTAATCCAGGCCCAGCTTTCACATCCAGAATTGAGTTGCAGTCTTGCAGTTGGAGCGAGATGGGTAGTCTCAGCAGACTCCGACGGTACTGCAGACTGCAGCAATCTGGGACCTCATCATTTCTGGTGTGAGACCAATAATGACAGCTGACAGGTTCTATATGCAAGCAAAGGTTTTTCTTGTGTTTCAGTTTCCATCTTCTCTCAAGCGGTTATTAATTTATATCATCATTAACAGTTTGAAGGATGACAATTTGCAGCAGTTAATGAGATCTTTCACTGAACTTATCATTTTTAAATTAACTGGCATTAAGTCACTCTTTCAAACAATGTAAATAATACATAAAACAATCCCCCCCCTCCCCCTTGAATCCTGAACTAATGCAAACAAACAAATCCCAGAGCAGCCTTGCATGTCCAGAACAAGACAAAAGTGCCTATTTTAGGATTGCCAACTGCCCAATTTGATCGAGACGGTCCTGATTTGGGTAGATTTAAAATGGCCTAATTTCAAGCACTGAATTTCTATTATTAAGTAGCAGTGGACCTGAAATAATATATGAAAGTTCATTTAACTCGGAAGAAACTTGAATAAGCATAGCTCATTTGTTTCCCAAATAAAAGTCAGCAATGTTGAAGCCAGATACAGACTCTACTTGAATAAAGATTATCTTTGACAGACACATGCACACGTACAAACACGCACAAACCCTGAAGATAACTGGCAGTAAATGTTTTGCCCAAGGCATCTTAACAGGTGTCTAGTTCGTAACAAACCTACTGTTCAAACAAAGCTGGCTTGCTTCAGAAAGCACTGGAAGCTGCTATAATCACTCTCACTCTTTTATACGTGTGTCTCCTCCAAATTACAGCCCTTGTTTTAAAAGGGTGCATTGTACTTTTGGGATGGAAAAGAAAAGAAGTGAAGACCAGAATTATAATATTTCATATTTATTGGTGGATAAAAAGGAAACAAAATATGTGAAATGGTCAGTGCAGAATTAGTGTTGTGTGCGTGCTACAAAATTGTCAGTATTTTATGAAGCATGAGAGTAATGTAAGCTGTTTGTGCTATTTTACTAACGTATCAATAAAGTGGCAATTTGTTATACAGCCAAATCCAATGTAGCTGATATTCAGCCTAACAACAAAGACAGATGTTACTAATTAAGTACGCATTAAAAAACTGTTAATACTGATACTCCATTAAAGCCATATGATAATGAGACTTAAATCTTTAATCAGAATGATCCACAAACCTCTTCAATATATGAAACTTGAAAATTTTGTTGCGTATAGAATTTGCATTTGAGAACGAAACAAGATTTGGACTGCTGGTTGGAGGTGGTTGCCAAGAGCAGTGTGCCATAACATGGTTTGCCTTGTCCTGTCCTTTTCTAGCAGACGTTCCATACGCCAAGCCTTGGGGACGAGGAGTTTGAAATCCCACCCATTACCCCCCCTCCTGAGTCAGACCCTGCACTGGGAATGGCAGATATACTGCTGCCCTTCCAGGGCCTTGGTGATCAGCTGCCTGCACAAGGAAATGAATTTACGCCTCAGTTTCCCCCCCAGAGCTTGGATCTTCCCTCTATTACAATATCCCGAAATCTCATGGAACAAGACGGCCTCATCCACAGCAATGGATTGCATATGGTAGGTCCGGTTCTTTGTGTGTTTCTGTTGCCCAATATTGTCTGTCAAAGCATAGCAATGTTGATTTGTGTCATCTAACAGTTTTAATTGACCTCTCAGAAGATCCGTATGAAATTATAGCCTGACCAAGCATTTGTTTATGATCTGTATCCTGTGCAAGCATATTCTGTATGAATGATGACACATGTTGTTGGTGTCACACAGCAAACAATGATATGCTCTTATTCAGTTCTCTAAGGCAGTTGGCAAATAGTTAAGGGTTTAATATTGGTGGATTCAGGAAGATAAACATGGTTGTTAATGTACAGCGCAGTGCTATACTGTGTGTGAACAGATCTCTTGTGAAGGAGCAGTCAGGCTTCATAAAGGCAGAATTTTAATTTTGGGAATGGACTTAGAAGCCCATAGCCATTGGCATCATGTGTATCCCAAGTGCTGCTAAAGTTCAGGAAAGTGTTACACAGTTGATACTGACATAGTGTTGGCCAGGGTGAAACTAAAGCATTTAGAAGTAATTGCTTGTCTGTATTTCAAATATAGGACACACATCTGACAGCCATCAGGATATTTTGAAAATGCAGCATTGACAGTAGCTCAGAAGGGGAGCCAGACACTGTATGCCAGCAGTAAAACCCCATGTATTTCCCTACGTGCTCGATATTCCATGGGCTAGATCTTTATAATTTTTTTTTTATAAATATTTTATAAATTTTTTTTATAAATCTTTTATAATTTTTTTTTTTTTTAACTTATAGTAGAACTGGTAGGGGTGTATTACCTTGACCATACTCAGAAATACAGGGCCATAAAAAGACTTCATTCTGTCCAGTTCTCTTGCCGACCGTAGAGGCTGGGGCAGGTTGTGCCTGTGTTCTGATTCCAGCTGGGATACAGTTAATTTTTCTTCTTAGTAGCTAGAATAGTGCTGTGTTTTGGATTCAGTATGGGATTTGGTATGAGAAGAATGCTGATAAAACGCTGATGTTTTCAATTGTTGCTAAAAGATCAAGGACTCTCCACCTCCTCATGTGCAGGTGCACAAGAAGCTGTGAGGGAACATGGCCAGAGCACCAGACCCAAACTGGACAGTGAAACATTCCATGTCATGTAACATCATGTTCAGTATAGGAAGGAGGGGTGGCAAGGAAGGAGGGAGGTCTCTCTCACTTCCAGGGTTACGATTGCGGGATCCTGTTATTTTGGGATCCCTAGCTGGGAATGGGCTGGGTATCAGTCGGTGGGCGGTGAGCAATCGCATTGTGCATTGTTTGATACTTTCTATTATTGTTATTGTGTTATTCTGTTTCAGTTACTAAACTGTTTTCATCTCAACCTGTGAGTCTCCCTTCACCCCTCCAATTCTCTGCCCCATCCCCGGGGCTGGGGAACGCGAGCGAGCAGCTGTGGGGTGTTTGGCTGCCGCTCGGGTTTAAACCGGACAGCCTGTTCTCCTGTTCCTGGGCTGTTTCCGAGCTGTCCGGAATGGGGAGGGGCAATCGGGGTGTGGGGAAGGTCTGAGTGGCGGGACTGTTAGGCTAATTTCAGTGATCATTCCTCATAATTAGAACAGTCAAACCCAGGGCTGTATGGAGTCTTCCCCAGAATCTATCCACACTGTATGGCTGTGATCTCCGTGGGAGGGTGTATGGGGCAGTTTCCACTTTCTTTTTGTATTTCCTTTTCAGATTTGGGGGATCTCCCTGCTTGGGTTTCTCTCAGCTTTGTGCAATAACATTCATACTCACAGTGATGAGACGCAGCCCTGTGTCAGTTTATCATACTTAGCATTTTAAACTCAGTGGTTACAATTAGAATTAGTTTCTGTATTGCTTACTGAAGACAGAGAGAATGTTTACCTTGAACAGATATTTTATATCAACTGTGCTTTTTCTGATTAGCTGTTTTATCTAAGACCTTTTGCTAAACTTGGTGTAGTGAAAATACAGATTTACTGCTGGGCTATAATAGAGGTCATTGTGTTGTCATGTTATGATTTCATGTAAATCTTTTTTTCTTTTTTATCGTTCTGGCAAGCAAAAATTAATTAAAGATTTACAGATCAACACGCAGCAAATGCTTCTCTGGAATTCTGCAGGCTGCTGGCTTCATTGCAAATTTTAATATTTCCTTGGAGGTCATGAAGAGTAGCTAGCACTAATACAGAATTAAGCACTAACAGCTCGCTACTTAGGAGGTACAGAATTCAGTAAATCCACAGACACAAAGCAGGGACTGCCTAAAACAGGCCTTGAAGGATATGATACTTCTTTTCAGATCTCATTTTGCATGTGATTTTGTATGCACTGGGTATGTTGGGTGAGTACTAAAGAAAGATCAGATTAATAAAACCCGAGAATCAGGAATGTTATGCTTGAAAAAATAAAAGTAATGGAGCGTGTGTACACTGAATACAATGAAACTTGCTCGGAAATATGTAATAAATATCATGAGCTGGATCAGGGTTGTGTTAGGTATATGAGTATCCCCCCAATGCTATCAAGTGGTTTGTAACCTGACCCAGTTTTGCCTTCTAATTTTGCATCATTTCACTGAATGTGATTCTTCCATGAGTAAATGCTGTCACCTTAACAGTTCCAACCAGAAGAGGCCTCCTGGTTAGACATGTCTCACCTCTTCTTCCACTGGAGGCTTTACATCTTTTTGTTTTGTTCTTTTCTAGACCATGCAATGTGGAAATAAATGACATAGTTTACATTGACTTCAGTGGTAGGAGTTTGTTCCCGTATATATCAAAGAGAAGATCTAGAGAAGCTCCTGCTGCCTTATCCCAGTAGTCCAGTGGTATCTTCTAGGGTGACTGCCAGTTCAAAGCGGTGGGTTGGGAACTTGGGTGTAGTTTTGCTGCAGAGAATTGAGGAATTGTGTGATTTGATATGGAGGAGCCACATAGGGAGGTTTGTGTGTCAGACTCTTCCCCACAACTGCTTGATTTGTTTTACACTGTGAGATGGAATGGCCCCTCCACTATATTTTAGTCAGTAGTCTTTTTCTCTTCTGCTTATAAATGCTGAGTAGCTTCAGGAAGTTTAAAAATATTAACAGAGGGTCCTTGCGTAGGTTTCCCCTGAACTCAGATATCTCTCTTTAGTACTCAAATTTTCCAGCAGTTAATCTGTATTTCAAAAATAGAAAACGAAAACGTTATATCATGTTTTATGTGAAAAATGTGCACTTTATTAAACTGGTAAATATTTATTAATAATATTAGAATTCATCTTTAAATTAGACATTTC